CAGATGTAAGACCAATCCTGGAGTATGCGGCCCCAGCATGGAGCCCGTACCTTGTCAAGCACAAGACGAAGCTGGAAAAAGTTCAGAGGTATGCCACTAGACTAGTCCCAGAACTAAGAGGCATGAGTTACGAGGAAAGGCTGCGGGAAATGCACCTCACGACACTGGAAGACAGAAGAGTAAGGGGAGACATGATCACTACCTATAAAATTCTCAGGAATTGACAGGGTAGATAAAGATAAACTGTTTAACACTGGTGGTACGCGAACAAGGGGACACAGGTGGAAACTGAGTACCCACATGAGCCACAGGGACGTTAGAAAGAACTTTTTCAGTGTCAGAGTAGTTAACAGATGGAATGCATTAGGCAGTGATGTGGTGGAGACTGACTCCATACCCAGTTTCAAGTGTAGATATGATAGAGCCCAATAGGTCCGGAACCTGTACACCTGTTGATTGACAGTTGAGAGGCGGGACCAAAGAGCCAGCGCTTAACCCCCGCAAGCACAACTAGGTGAGTACACAACTTTGAAGGATATTAAAACAGGAAATTAGCAGGTCTATGTATGTCTTAACACATGTATTACTATACAGTGGTAGTACAGGTATACAGGTACAAGGCCGTGACCTGAGAGGTAGCAAAGGTAAGGTAATACAAGGAGAAAGTACTCAGAAGGGATATGAAGACAAGGACCTGGGATAGACGGAGTGAAGGAACGGTGCCCAACCGCTTAAACCATCGGGGATCGAGACCCGACCCTGCAAGAGGCGAGGTGAGAAAACGGTCTTTATCTAGACCCACGTTTAGAGTCAAGTCCCGATGGGAATACTTGCCCAGTAAACCTCTTAAGATCTTTTTTTTATATAATAAATTAAGTAATAGAAAAAAGTAAACAATCCATTACAAATATTAATGTTGCTTGCTGTAGTAAGAATTTTTAAAGTATTCCCTGGAAACACAAACCGAAACTCTCTCTATTTTCCGCTTGTTACAACTTGTAATAAAGTTGTTACATCTTGGCTTAACGTGTTTATGACGTATTAGAACGTTGTTACAACTTGCTATATTGGTTGTTATAACTGGTTAGGAAGTGTTAAAACTTGTTCGAACGTTGTACCAACGTCGTAGTTTCGGTGTGTGTTTGGCGGGTAAATATGTAAATGTAAAGGTAAATGTAAATACCAAATATATTTGGTATTTATATTTCAAAAGCTCCTACAATCGCTCATCAAATGTATGAATAGAGTAGATATTTGACTACTTCTAACATAATATTTCTTTAGAGAAATTATAAATTTAACATTTTCAATTGTTTGGCCTTAAACACAGTGAGGTGTTGCCCACGTGGCGGGCACCACAGTTGAGCACTTAACCAGGCAAACAACAGATGTCTGTAGTTTAAACAGTATGATTATTGGTGAACATAAATTGAAAGCTAATTTTGCACGTCTCAAGATGTTACGAAGTTCTATTGAACGTTTCCGGAAGCAGAGGAAACGTGTATAGAACATGTTACATATGTGGAGTCAGGTGAGGGGTGTAACTAGTTAAGAAGGTTCATATTGTTGTCTCTGCCTATTCCCCTTGCCTCTTTTTCTCCCTCTTTTTCTATCCCTATCCATTCCCCCTCCCCCCTTCACCCTCACTGCTCTCTCTTCCCCCTCTCCTTCCCCCTCCGTGGCGGGGGCTCCATCACCCCTGCCTCCGATGCATGAAATTATACATTTTTCACAGTGGGGTCCAGGAATCATTTAGCTCCTCACTGAAGGCCCTGATTGGAAATGATAATTTTGATTCATTGGGAGCAACCATGGGTGGCCAGGCAAGTGTCCTCCCTCAGCCATGGGTGGCCAGACAAGTGTCCTCCCTCAGCCATGGGTGGCCAGGCAAGTGTCCTCCCTCAGCCATGGGTGGCCAGGCAAGTGTCTCCCTCAGCCATGGGTGGCCAGGCAAGTGTCCTCCCTCAGCCATGGGTGGCCAGACAAGTGTCTCCCTCAGCCATGGGTGGCCAGGCAAGTGTCCTCCCTCAGCCATGGGTGGCCAGGCAAGTGTCTCCCTCAGCCATGGGTGGCCAGGCAAGTGTCCTCCCTCAGCCATGGGTGGCCAGACAAGTGTCTCCCTCAGCCATGGGTGGCCAGGCAAGTGTCCTCCCTCAGCCATGGGAGGCCAGACAAGTGTCCTCCCTCAGCCATGGGAGGCCAGACAAGTGTCTCCCTCAGCCATGGGTGGCCAGACAAGTGTCCTCCCTCAGCCATGGGAGGCCAGACAAGTGTCTCCCTCAGCCATGGGTGGCCAGACAAGTGTCTCCCTCAGCCATGGGTGGCCAGGCAAGTGTCCTCCCTCAGCCATGGGTGGCCAGGCAAGTGTCCTCCCTCAGCCATGGGTGGCCAGGCAAGTGTCTCCCTCAGCCATGGGTGGCCAGACAAGTGTCTCCCTCAGCCATGGGTGGCCAGGCAAGTGTCCTCCCTCAGCCATGGGTGGCCAGGCAAGTGTCTCCCTCAGCATGGGTGGCCAGGCAAGTGTCCTCCCTCAGCCATGGGTGGCCAGGCAAGTGTCTCCCTCAGCCATGGGTGGCCAGGCAAGTGTCCTCCCTCAGCCATGGGTGGCCAGACAAGTGTCTCCCTCAGCCATGGGTGGCCAGACAAGTGTCTCCCTCAGCCATGGGAGGCCAGGCAAGTGTCTCCCTCAGCCATGGGTGGCCAGGCAAGTGTCTCCCTCAGTCATGGGTGGCCAGACAAGTGTCTCCCTCAGCCATGGGTGGCCAGGCAAGTGTCCTCCCTCAGCCATGGGTGGCCAGGCAAGTGTCCTCCCTCAGCCATGGGTGGCCAGGCAAGTGTCCTCCCTCAGCCATGGGTGGCCAGGCAAGTGTCCTCCCTCAGCCATGGGTGGCCAGGCAAGTGTCTCCCTCAGCCATGGGTGGCCAGGCAAGTGTCTCCCTCAGTCATGGGTGGCCAGACAAGTGTCTCCCTCAGCCATGGGTGGCCAGGCAAGTGTCTCCCTCAGTCATGGGTGGCCAGACAAGTGTCCTCCCTCAGCCATGGGTGGCCAGGCAAGTGTCTTCCTCAGCCATGGGTGGCCAGGCAAGTGTCTCCCTCAGCCATGGGTGGCCAGACAAGTGTCTCCCTCAGCCATGGGTGGCCAGGCAAGTGTCTCCCTCAGTCATGGGTGGCCAGGCAAGTGTCTCCCTCAGTCATGGGTGGCCAGGCAAGTGTCTCCCTCAGCCATGGGTGGCCAGGCAAGTGTCTCCCTCAGCCATGGGTGGCCAGGCAAGTGTCTCCCTCAGCCATGGGTGGCCAGGCAAGTGTCTCCCTCAGCCATGGGTGGCCAGGCAAGTGTCTCCCTCAGCCATGGGTGGCCAGGGGGAGTCTCGCACTTTCTCCTTCCCCGGATTTTTGTTAGGTTTATATAATGGTTGTTGGGGAACACGTGGCTGGGGGAGTGGGGCTGGGGGAGTGGGCTGGGGGAGTGGGGCTGGGGGAGTGGGGCTGAGGGGGAGTGGGGCTGAGGGGGAGTGGGGGCTGAGGGGGAGTGGGGCTGAGGGGGA